TCAATAGATAGGGAAGTGAGAGAGAACCAAGTTGATTCCAAGTGAATTATCACGTGATATAAACTAGTGTTGCGCCACATATCGTATCTCCCACACTAATACGTGCTTAAGAAGCAAGTTAAGTTACAAAGCTATATAGGAAATTCATTCTTTCCACTACCAGTCTACACCCCCTCACACCTTCGCAACCCTTTGCTTTCTCTTCTGCCCCTCACCTCGCACATTTGACCTACAACGCTTCAGAAAGATTTTAAACGAGTGATATCTGGAGATGACGAAGACTACAAGAGCCTAGGCCCCGTTTGACACACCAACCCTTGTCCGGCTTTCCAAACCGCACCTTTCCAGGTATGATATGCTAAATTGCAGTTTGCGAGGTGCGCGTTGCCAGACGTCTTAAGGAACTTTGTGGGCGGGAAATAGAAAAAGGTGGCTTTTGGGCGAATCGAAGAGAGGAGGGGTAAATTTCGTGGTGCAATTTCCGGTAGTCCAATGGTTTCTTAAGCCTTGCATTTCAGTGTTTTCAAACTGTATAATATTCAAATTCTACTTATTAGACAACAGGCCGCCAAATCCTGCAATCCTTACAATCTAAATCCTGTAATTTTTTACCCTATAAAAGCCAGTGCCCGAAACAAGGTCTTAGTGTCCAGCATAATATATAGTACTAGTACGCTGTGCTGATCACAAATAAGGTTTTCTCATTTCCTATGTTTAGGATCATATTCGCAAGGCGATAGTAGATTCTGGCTCACGCCAGAAAACATCCTGCAATGTTGCAAAGTTAAGCGAGGAAAATATGTCCAGCTTGTTGGATAGCCCAGGTTGGACCCCCCCGACCTGACCTAGATCCATGACCCAGTCCCATGAACCTGAACTAGCTTAACGAAGAAACCGGGTTAACCCAAAGCACTCTGGACTGATTGGTAGGCTTAGGGGGGAGCGAAAGAAGGTTAAGTCATTATGCGAGGCTTTTAGTATTTCAGGCAGCGAAATCGCTTATTGGATATATATTATGTAAAATTACTAACTGCTGTTGGTCAGTGAACAGCTGGTAAGATAACGTACCGTACTCCAGTATTCAATGCCGCCCGCTTTCCTTTCACATACGGGTAGCTCTGATTTATGACGACAGCATTCGGGGGGAGCGGGCCCCACAGTGGAGTTCGAAAAGACCAGTACCTGTATTTTTCACTATTGGTTCTCTCCTTTTCTTGGACCGGTAAGCCTTGGGGGATCCAAAATCCTCTCGGTTCACTTTCCTGTCCGCGACCCGGGGCACAGAAAGCAGTTCTTTCAGGATTAGCTAAAAACTTCTCAGAAGCGAAATCTCGAAGTACTGTACTGTACTGTACTGATATCTTGAAACAAAATTAACTGCTGCAGCCACTACCGTGGGCACGTCGAAACGGGGCAGGTGACGAACATGGGTATTGCGCGGGCGACAAGTGAACTCTATCAAAGTAGGATAACAAATTCACTTTCAGATCCCCTTCTTCGTCCATCCAGTTTTGTCGTGCCCATCCCCGTCTCAAGCTGCGTGAACGCCACACTCGGAGGCCCAAAAATGACATGCTAACCGAATGATGCACCGCCACTAACTCTCGCAGGTTATGTTAGTTTCTAGACTACTCACTCCTCTTTGCAAAGAATACATCCATAAACCCAACATTTGGTGCGGACTGCAGCAAAATATCTACTGTAGGAGGTATTCTTGGCAACGGCGAGTGAGTACTGTACTGTACTTGTACTGCACAGTGTTTCGTTTGCTTGCAGCAACTATGCCATGTTGTTATCCCCAGAGCCAGCATTAGCCCAGAAACCATTTCCATTGATTCTACACTCGAGAAATTCGGCAGCAGGGGTATATAGCGGGAGGAGTATGATATCTTGCACGGTAGATTGAAGGTCAGGGCAGAAATGACGCGAAGGCAACAATGTTAATCTCACAGAACGGAGAGAGCTGAGAAAATCCTTTGATCCAGTTATTCACCATAGGGTACAATCGCCCCGTCGAGTCCCTTGTTTACCACAGAATTGCAATCACACCGTATCTAATCCCTCCCGTATAAATATATTTGAATCCCGTATAAGCATCGGGATAGAATGATTGGATCCGCGATGGTAAAGAGCTATTGCAAGCGCCACCCAACAGAAGATTTTGTGTGACCTGTCGTATATTAGTCATGTACTGTACTGTACTGGTACCGGTACTTAGATAGTTGTTGTCACACAACCAGCCTAAATGCCCCTCTTTTTTCAGCTCTGCTAGCAGAAAGTCTATACGCACCCTCCATACCCGCTCAAACTCTCCTACCGATCCCACATTCAACAACTCTTGAGAAAGGATATCATGGCCCACGCTACATATGTACAAACAGTCAACATCGGTGACGGGAATGCCCACTGCGGCAACATAACAGGTAGCTTCAACGTCTATCAGTCCGACGAGGATGTACAGATACTGCGTTGGCTCTCTCCACTAGAGCCAAATAATAGACACCAAGGCGTGCGCAGTGACTGATTCGCCGGTGTTGGGGAATGGCTTCTGGAAACAACTGAGTTTCGGGAATGGAGAGAGCTTAACGGTGGAGAAGATAAGGCTATCCTGTTTTGCTCCGGGAATCCGGGAGTGGGCAAGACATATCTCAGGTAAGCAGTGGGGCTGTTTTAACGAAGCGAATATGACTGACGGCGAGAAAACATTAGTTCGCTGGTGATCGACAGCTTGTGCGACCAGGCAAAGAGCGAAGATATAGCTGTTGCTCGCTTGTACTGTGACTTCCTTTCCCAGCAAGAGCAGACAAGCACCAACATGATGGGAGCTATTCTGAAGCAGCTGGTAGGAAGAGGGGGGATCCGAAAATATCTGCGTGAGGTGTTTGAAGAAGGGAAGAAAGAGATTGGTGGCAGAGTGCTGTTGCTTCCAGATCTGATGAGAGTTTTGAGGGTCACTATTACTTCGCTTCCGCAAGTTTTCATATGTATCGATGCCCTAGACGAGTGCTTGCCCAGGAATCTACCAGAGCTTCTCGAGTCATTGAGAGATATTGTTCGGGAGTCTCCTAAGACGCGAATATTCCTCACGAGGAGGCCCCACGTCAAGGAAGACATCCAAAGATACTTCCCCAAGGCAGTTGTGATGCCCGTCAGTCCCAACACCAATGATGTTAGGAATTATTTGGAGATGAGGTTATCCAGGGATCCCGAGCCAGATGCGATGAACGATGACTTGAGGGCGGACCTTGTGAGAATTTTCTTGGAAAAGATATCTGATATGTGCGTTAGAGGAGTTAGCATTTTCGTTCTATAAACGATGAATTCTGGCAAAAGCTGTGTATACATTTCTGCTCGTTTCGCTGAACATCGACGCTATTCTCGGGGGGGTTACAATCCGTCAGAGAAGGAAGAAACTCGAAGAAATGACACGGGGCAATGGACTGGGCGATACCTACACAGCAACCCTAAACCGAGTGAGGACGCAGAAGGGGGATAAATTAATACTCGGGCTAAAGGTCTTAATGTGGGTGGCATACTCGGAACATCCATTGCAGGCACTAGACCTCCGTCATGCCTTGGGAGTGGAACTAGGATCTACGGATCTAGATGTTGAAAACGTTCCTACACTACGGACACTCCTATCATCTGCTCTAGACCTTGTTACAGTCGAAACGTCTTCATCTACGGCGCGACTAGTGCACTATACTCTGCAGGAGTATCTCTCGAGTGATCCGACACCGTTCGATAGTCCCCACTCAACAATAGCGCAGGTTTGCTTGACATACCTCAACTTTAGAAGTGTCAGGGATCGTTCGCCAATTCTCGATTTGGTCCCTCAATACCGCCCTTCCTAAGATATGCTTCGTATTACTGGGGGAATCATGAAAGAAAGGGGATGACAGGGGATGTGAAAACCCTTGCGCGGAGAGGCTTCTCGATGGATTAGAAGAGCATATATCAGGTGTACTAATGTTAATGCACTACGCGCTTGATAGTGGCCGCGGCCCATGGCTGCTCTGGAGAAAAGTACGTACAGGATTTACCGGGCTCCACGGGGCAGCATTCCTTGGGATCGTGGATATAGTGAGTGCTGTGTTAGAGATGAAGGAATGGGATGTGAATGCGACCGATAGTAGCGGTCGCACGGCTCTCATATGGGCAGTTGTCCGGGGGCAAGAGGAGGTGGTAAGGATGCCTCTAGGGCGTGTAGATGTCAACCCTGACTCTGTAGACACTAGAGATGGCCGGAAAGCACTCTCATGGGCCTCTGAGTTTGGATATGGGGGGGGTGGTAAAGATGATTTTGGAACGAGCGGATGTTGATCCGGACCAGACAGACACTAAATTTGGCCGGACGGCACTGTCTTGGGCCACCAGGTATGGGGATGAGGAGGTAGTACAGATGCTATTGGAACGAGCGGATGTCAATCCTGGCCATGCAGACTCCAAATATGGCCGGACGCCAATCTCGTGGGCCGCTGAGTTCGGGCATGCGGGAGTAGTAAAGATGCTCTTGGAACAAGCGGAGGTTAATCCCGACCATGTAGACACCAAATATGGCCGGACACCACTCTCTTGGGCGGCTGGAAAGGGGCATAAGGGGGTAGAAAAATTGCTTTTAGGATGAGCGGATGTTAATCCTGACCAGACAGACATCGAATATGGCCGGACACCACTCTCTTGGGCGGCTGGAAAGGGGCATGAGGGGGTAGTAAAAATGCTATTAGAACGAGCGGATGTCAATCCCAACCAGCCAGACGTCAAACATGGCCGGACAGCACTCTCCTGGGCTGCTGGGTATGGGAAATAGGGGGTAGTACGGATGTTATTGGAACGAGCAGATGTCAATCCTGACCATGCAGACTCCAAATATGGCCGGACGCCGATCTCGTGGGCCGCTCAGTACGGGAGTGAGGGGGTAGTGAGGGTGCTTTTGGAGCTAGAGGATGTCAATCCCAAGACAGCAGACACCAAAAATGGCTTGACACCGCTCTCGTGGGTAGCTGGGCGCGGCCATATCGGAATCGTGAAGCTACTTTTGGAAAGGAAAGATGTCCACAACACCACACCAGACAACAAGAGCCAAGCGGGCACTCCCCAAAGACTTTGATAAAGTTGCCAGGATCCTACAGGAACCGGAAATTACCTATTCCGCCACCGCCGATCCTCGTAGCCAGGCGTCTCGCCCACCCTCCGTTCGCCATGACTAGTCCACGGTGGAGATCCAAGCGTGCGATCCTATCCCTGACATCACATACTGTACCTCTCACTGGCAGACACCCGTGAGTAGGATGGGATACCGGGCATTAATGACACTGTTCCCAAGTTCACAGATCATGACCCTTCCCCAACCAAACCGTCCACCCCACCTCAACTCCCCCATATGGCACCCGAAGTTCTCATACCCTCCAGGAAACTGACACACATCCCAACACCTGACCAACCCTCTCGCTTGCTGTCGACCGCTATCTTATCATCGCCTCCTTCGTTTCCATTTAACAGTTCTCGTTTACATTCCCCTTCACCCCACATATTCTCATTCTATATATAATAATTTTTCTATAAGACTTTGGTTTGCAACACCTCTATTGATTAAATGTACCCCTAGTAAACGCTTTTTTCACCGCTTTTAGCCGGTGGTTTTCCGATCTCTATACTTTTCGGCTTTCATTCCTTGGCCCTCAACTTCAGAATTTATACATATCTTCTTGTTTATTGCCCTTCATTGTTGTCCTTCTTGATGTTAACATTTTTGCTATGTTTTTCACAATGCTAGCATATACCACAGCCCTCACCGGCAAGCTGACGTCATAGTTGGTGATTGAAGCCGGATGGAATTATAAGTGATTGCACCTGAGATGGAAGACCACCGAAGACATTGATGGATGTTGTTCAGAAGGATGCACAGGAGCATGTGGAAGGAAAGGGTAGATGAAAAGTGAGAGAGTGAGAGGTGGAAAGCATGCAGAATAGGATAGAGGTTTATGATTGATAGAAATAGTTAGCTGATTGTTTCTTTATGGGGGATTGCAGAGAATGGTTACATGCCCTGTTTCGGTGGAAAGTTGCGGAAAGGAAGACACTCATGTGGTGGTGAGGAGAGTTTCTCTTATGTTTTCTATTTAGACTTGTCTTTCCTGGAGCACGCTCTGCAGGTAGATAGACAAGTTGACCACGAGGTCCATTGCCTGCGTCATTTCTTGTAACACGCGACCGCCCGACCCCTCTACTTTGGCGTCCGCAAGATCAAACAAGTTGGCTTGGCACAGGTTTCGGCGGATCCTCGGAGTACTGTACACCGCGAAGGATGAGCAAGCAGTTCACGAACCACTGGCGGGTTGCTTGACCACCTACGGTTTATACGCCAGCTTGGAGTGTTCAGATACTACCGTAGCGGCTTTCCAGGCCACGGGAATGGCCAGGTAGCCACTATTTCAATTTGTTTAGCGGTTTCGGCGAAGAGCCTGATCTGTGCAGAGAGCGAACCCAAACTCGAGCTGCGACGTTCACTACTACCCCGTCGTAGCTGTATAATGAGAGCGGTTTTAGTGGTAAACTTGAGCGCTGAATCCAAAGTTCCCTTAGTAACAAATCAGTACCTCCAACCCCGTGAGGATACTTCCCATGGCTTCTATGATACCCTGCGCACCTTGGATGACTGTGAAATTCTGCTCAGGTCTCCTATCGCCCACCACACCATCACAGTATACCGTTTTAAACAAATCCATACTCGCCCGCCGGTAAAGAGAGCGATTAGTGCAGAGAACAAACCCAAACTCAGGAAGCCACGTCAAGTACTGCCTTGTTGTAGCGGTGAGATGAGCGTTGTTTATCGATAAACTCTCGGGCCACATTAGCGCCTCCAACCCTCTGTGGGGGTACTGTACGAGTACTGTACTTTACACTATCAAACCATAAAATTCCGCCCCAGTCCCCCATCAGAGAAACCCGTACTAGTACACGGTGCTATTATAGGGGAATGTATGACATCTTCTCTTCTAATATGTATGGTATATGAGTTAAAGGTAATAATTTAAAAATGAACTAGTCATATTATAGCAACAAGGAAAAAGGAATATCAAATTAAATTAGGCGAGTTCTTAAATTGAAAATAGAATGGTTTGAAAACTACTCTTGATAGTATTATAAATAAGAAATATGATAGATGGGTAAATTTTATACTAACAGATCAAGTGCTAGAAATAGACAGCACTTTAAAACGTTGATAATAATAGTAATGATAGTAATAGGGGTTTGCAATCTCCTTGCAAGGACAGTTTGATAGATTTAATATCTGAATAATGCGTACCAATTAGAACCTGGTCAAGTCCTTAGTCAAAATAAAACTAATACTAATACAATAACAAACCAAAACAAGAGTTCTCATATGGAGAAAGATATGTACTCTAATCAGACTACAGAGAGAGACCACAGTAGTAGTAGTGAAATTCTTGTACACTATTATGATATTAGGTTGTGACTAACTAATTGTTAGTCCTTGAAATCGGGCTTAAGTTCTATAGGAATAAGTTAAGTACAATTTTCACTTTATTTTACCTCCAAGGAGATGCTGGTAGTTAAGTAACCAAAAACTATAATATAATGATAGATTCTGATTTGAGTAAAATATCCGCTTATTTAAAATTTCCTTCAATACTTTAATATACTTTTTGTAATGGTACAACCGGTGACAGTTTTACTAATTTACGGGAG